TCAGGAGACTGAGATAGGAGGATCACGGTTCAAAGCCAGCCAGGGCAGGAAAGCCTGTGAGACCCTGATCTGCCACGAACCACCAGGAAACCGGAAGTGGCGCTGAGGCTCAAGTGGTAGAGCGCTCGCCTTGAGCTGAAGAGCTGAGGGACAGCGCCCAGGCCCAGAGTTCAAGCCCCTGTCGAACTTTCTAGGTCGGTTGAATCATTTCGGTGACGTGTGGCTAGCACAGCCCCAACCCCCTCCCCCATAATGACCAGAACCCCTTCCCAAGCCTGCATTGATGGCTCTACCGCACAGTGCGACCCTCCCTCCCGCCCCCCCCCGAAAACAACAGGAGGTATCAGAGCGGGGTACCAACCGAACTCCAGGAAAGCGTAGGGGCGGGAGGCCAGGCGGATGCGGGTGGGGTCGTAGGACGTGGTAAAGTCCCACCAGAGTGTCTCCAGGAAGCAGAATGCCATGGCGGCCGGACACCGGAGGGAGCAGATAGCCAGGCAGCCCACGTCTCCGGCGGAGGAGAAGCTGAGACACACGGGGGGGGGGGACCCCGTGGGGGTGAGCACACTTGTGAGGGACACAGCCCCCATGGCCCCGTCCCCACCACCCGGCCACAGCCCGAGTTCAAGCCCCAGGCCTGTCATCCCAGGGCTCAGGAGGCTGAGATCCAGAGGATCGCGGTTGGAGGCCAGCCTCGGGACAGGGGTGCTGCTCACTTACTAGATGCTGAAGTCGGGGCTCTGGGCGGAGCCCCGACCGGGATACTGGGCCAAGCGGGAAGCCAGAGCCTTCAGCCGCCTCCGGCACGCCAGGAACTCCTGGGCCTGGTAGAAGTCAGTGCTGGCGGACAGCGGCAGCCCATCCCTCACCCGAACCACGCAGGCGAAGACGATCACAGACATGGTCCACGGGAGGACTCATCGAGACATCTGTGGGGAGCACGGCGGCCACGTGAGCACGGTCAGGAGGCACATGGCTAAGTGTCTGTGTGTGTACACCTGTCCCGGGGCTTGAACTCTGGGCCTGGGCGCTGTCCCTCAGCTCTTCAGCTCAAGGCTGGTGCTCTACCACTTGAGTCACAGCGCCATCTCTAATGAGTTAAATCAGTGGGGAATAAGGGATAACTAGGTAGATCAGGTAGGAGGTAGGGCCATTCATAGGTTCCAGAAGCATCTTTGGAACAGCAGGGAATAAAACAAAGAGCTGGCCAGGTGCTGGTGGCTCCCGCCTGTCATCCTAGCTACTCAGGAGGCTGAGATCTGAGGATTGAGGTTTGAAGCCAGCCCAGGCAGGAAAGTCTGTGCAACTCTTATCTCCACTAAACCACCAAAAAGCTGGATGTGGAAGGTGTGGTTCAAGTGGTAGAGCATCAGCCTTGAGTGAAAAAGCTAAGGGACAGAGCCCAGGTCCTGAGTTCAAGTTCCGATACCAGCACGGCACTAAAAAAATAGAGAGAAAGAAAATAAAGAGAAAGTGAGGGATGCTGCTGTATGTCTTGAAGTTCTGGAAATACTGGATCCAGAGCCGATCATCCAAACAATGACCGAGTTCCTACAGGTGGACCCCGGAAGCCATACTGCCAATCCTATTATAGTAAGATACTAAATATTTGACCTGTTATGAGAGAATAGTTAGAAGCAGAAGGAAACAGATCCAGAGCTCCTCACGGTGCCTGTAATAAATCAGAAAGCTCACCCAGGAGCTCACAATTAGCATCCCAGCTCCTCAGGAGGCTGAGATCGAGAGGATTGTGGTTCAAAGCCAGCCTAGGCCAAGAAAGCTCATGAGACGCTTATCTCCCACGAACCAGCAGAAAGCTGGAAGTAGAGATGGGGAAGGAGAAAACGCTAAGGGAGAGCACGTAGGCCCTGAGTTCAAGCCCCAGGACCGGCGCGCGCGCGCGCGCACACACACACACACACACACACACACACAAAGAAAAGAACAACAGGACCAGATGACCACCCGTCAGGAACTTCAAATGTGACCCGCCCCAGGAGAACTTCATCCCCACACAAAAGGCACTCAGTTCTGAGCACCAAGCCAACCAACAGAGGGCACAGGAGCCCTTTATGCCCACGCTGAGCACCACAGGGAATAGGGGAGGGGCGGAGGGGGAGAGGGGGAGGTACTGTGACTTTTGCCCGCATTTGAAGTTGTTCAGTTTGGAAAAATGTTTTGGAAAAGCACGGCAGTGGGTGGGACCTGGTGGCTCATGCCTGTAATCCCAGCTCCTCAGGAGGCTGAGACTGGAGGATCACTGTCTAAAGCCAGCCTGGGGCGGAACAAACCAACCCAAGAGATTCCTTTGTGTGGGGGGAGTGGTGGGTGGGTCCTGGGGCTTGAACTCTGGGCCTGGGCGCTGTCCCTCAGCTCTTCAGCTCAAGGCTAGCGCTCTACCCACCTTGAGCCACAGCGCCACTTCCGGCTTTTTTCTGTGTCTGTGGTACTGAGGACTTGAACCCAGGGCTTCCTTGCTCGCTAGGCCGAGCGCTCTACCACTGAGCCACCTTCCCTGCCCAGAGTGCTAGTCTTGAGCGCAATAAAAGCCCGGGGATGGGCAGCGCTTGGGCGCTGAGTTCAAATATCAGAACCAGGGGCTGGGAAGGTGGCTCAGTGGTAGAG